TGCCCAGTCCCCGCGGCTCTCATGCTGTGCGCAATCAGGTCTGCGGGCCTAGAGGAAGAACCCACGACGTCGTTGTCATCGACCTCCTCGAGGCTGTCTCTGTTTGCGGCGGCGCGATCGCCCTGTTTTCCTGCTTCGTCCCCCTCCCCCTCCTCTTGCAGCTGTTTTCCATCTCCGGAGGGTGCTCCCCCCTCCCAGGTTCTGCGTTTACCTTTGACGTGGCAACGTTTCCTCGGCTGTAGCCAGTTGCTACAACGCAAGGTCGAAACACAGGGGGAGGAGGTAGGAAAACAGGACGATCGGACCAGCGCACAAAAGAGGCGGCCTCAGGGAAGTCAGTCGACAACGACGACGTCGTTGTGGGTCGACGTCGAAGTGGGTTGCTCCTTTTCCGAAGACTTGGTCGCTCACAGCGGGAGAGTCGTGGGTGCCCGTATTTTGAGAATGGCTTTGATATCAGCATGTCATAATTTCTTCACAAGATGGTCTTCTTTGACTTACTCCCTTGGGACCCCGGCGTTCATGTACATGTAATACTGTACCGGAACGATTCCTCTACTTGAATCGTTCTGAAGGCGACAAGCAAGATTCCTGGCGTTCGAGGTGCGCGGAGACCAGTGCTTGTTCCAGTTTGCGCAGCAAAGACCCGGTGCTCGGGATTGTTGTTACGACCCTATAAGTGTAGCGGGTCAAGGGTCGCGGTGCAAGCGAGGTCTGTGTTGGCAACATTGTTTTCTCTAAGGACGATATGTCGGAAACGCTCCTGTTGCTGCCAACCATCGGTCTTAGGCGTGAAGGAACAGAACGTAAGGGCGAAGCTGCTTCTGACCGCATCCGAATACTTTCGTACAACGTTTTGGGAGCGCGGCAGGGGCTCGCGGACAAGCATGACCACGTCGGCGTGGACGTGAGTATACAGAGAACAGCAACCTTAGCTACTGCTTGTTTCTGCCAACATTCTCAAGCATACTGTATGAAGGTGGCATAAGTCCCGCAAGAGACCAAATGAAAAACAACATATGGGAGGTATTGATTGATTCAGTTCTCTTTGTCTTGAGTTGTGGTTTTGCGCAGGACCTATAGAAGGCACGTTGAAGCATGCAATCTTTCACACGCAGTCGCAAGCAGATGAACTGATTCCCATCTCAACAGACGGCACCATCAGTTGTTCGCGCTACTAGCTACCCTCCAGTCTCCATCGGCTCCGCGCTTCATGCCGGTCTACTTGCACGTGAATGTTTCCGTTTTACTTTGCTCGCAGATTCGAAACTGGCCGACGAGACGCGACAGGTTACGGGAAGAGATATGGTCGTACTGCAAGTCCGACCCAGGTGGCGTTCAAGTCATATGTCTTCAGGTGAGGCCTGCGTGATTTGGTTAATGCACCAGGGCTGATGTGAAACCATCACCTCTGCCGACGCTCTGCTCCCTAGGTAGTGCAGCAGTTGTGGGCAATACTTTTCACTGCATGCATAGTGTAGGGTTCAGCTGCTGTCAACGTCTTGCTACAGCAAGGATGGGGTGGAGAGTGGTATCCCAGCCGTTACGGCAGCTGTAAGCCTCGGCCGTGAGGTAGCAGCATTTCGTTTCACAGCATCGCTACTTCCACGACATTCCTAGCAAATGCGAGGCAGTGCCGCCTTGGTCTACTGGTGTCCAATCTGATCAGATGTAGCACGCAGGATATCGCGTTGAGAGTCCCACAGGAACGTGTATTGTGGCTTTGTCTGATGTCCTGCGTTCCACCCAAATAACTGCAAAATCATTCAACCGCAAGAACGTCGATGGAACGCTCTCTTGTGTGCGTTCCATCACGCGCGCGGGCTGCCATTCGCAGGAAGTGACCTTCAGGACGCTTGGGTATGACTGGCTGCCCTTCATGGCCAAGCTCGGACTAGACCGACATGTCTATCAGCCCAAAAGCAATCGCCCCCAAAGGTGAGATGGTGGTTGCTGTTCGACAACGTAGCAATCGGGCTTCAAAGCTTCCCTCATGATGGACGATAAGGCACGTTGCAAGAGAGGGCGTACTACCGGAAATATCCCTCGTGCAACCCCGGAGTGTAAGAAAGCAAAGGTCGTGGGCATGCCGGTCGCCAGCTGCCCGAGTCGATGACTGTCTCCAATCTGGGCTGCTGTATTTTCGTAGCTCGAAATATTCGACGCTGCAGAATTATGCTGCGATGGCGTATGCGCTCAGCTGAAGCAAGTAGAAGGGCAAGAACCGCCGGTATGCTCTGCTGCAGTACGGGAATTGTTTGTTCATCTTAGAAGGCCAGTACAGCTGCCTCGTCTTTCCGTTGTCAAGTCTCCCCTCCTATCTCCGCGGCGCTAACTGCACCGACTCATCATCTTCCCATGCTGGCAAATATCTAGGAGGCACCGATCCCGGTGCCTGGGCGTAGCAATATTCTACAGCTCCACGCATTTCGAAAAGATGGCCGAAGTGCGCGTGGTGTTCTCCGAAGAAACCCGGGGCTTCCGAGAGGACAGCGGCCGCGAGGGAGAGCGCTCCCATAGCATCGTTGCGTCCGAGACACCGGAAGCAGTACCAGCAGCCCCAAAGGCAACGACAAGGGCGGGGAAGGGTGCGGCGCCGCCGTGTGACCAGTTCCTGCGGCGTGTCTACGGGGGTGACACGGGACGGGGGGCGAAGGGCGAGCAGGATCCAGCTACGGTCTCCCGCCTAGAGCAGGACCTGGCGAACAGGCACGATGCCGCCGCTTTGGTACGGTTGAGGCTGAAAGAAAGCGACGACCTCGAGGAAGGTGCCAGCGGCAAAGGTGGCAGTGGCGGCGGTGGGGAGACCGGGCGCTCGTTCACCGTCGTCTGCGCGCACCTGTTTTACGACCCCAATCGACCGGACCTGAAGACGGCGCAGTGTCAAATGCTGTTCCGGGCCATCGACCGCCTTCATCAGAAATGTGGTGTTGCCAGTGCTCTTGGTGGCGGTAAAGCCGGTAGCGAAATACCGTCGCTTGGCCCCGCAAATCTGGTCCTGTGTGCAGATTTTAACTCGAAGCCGCTCGTGGACCCGTGGTTTTTACCAGGGCCTTTGAAGGTGAGCACGCCCACTGAGGAAGTATCGCTCGTGCGATTGCCGTTGTGCTTGCCCGCATCTTGCACTCTACGGTTTCAGTTTCCTTTCAACGTATGGTCCGTTTGCGGAAAAATTCACAATATTTTCCCCTGCACAAAGGTGCACTTTTCTCGGGGTGGGGGTACTTATTCCGAAATCTGAAAATACCGCGTAAATCGACGTTTCGAAGCGCATCTTCGTACGGAGCTTTTTTTTTTTTCCGGCCTTCGCTCGATATGTTCAGATATTCAAGAAATCTTGCTTACTTTCTGGAGGGCGGTGTTTTTTGCAGACACAAAATCTGAGACCGGATTTGGACAGCTCTCGTGATTTGCCACCGATGATTTTTTTCCGATTTCCAATTTGACAAAAAATAACGGAGTTATGGGCAAAAAACCGGATATAGGAGGGTATTTTGCGTATTTTCTTGGGGACAATCCAACCGTACGATTCAAAAATAAAGTGCTGCAATTGATTCCTCTCGTGATTTCCCACCGACGATTTTTCCGATTTCAAAAAAAAAAATCGGGTTTCGGAGATATTTCGGGTGGTTTCACACGCCCTCGGGGATTTTTTCCCGCCACACACACACCAGAGGACACACACACACACACACACACCCTTTACGGACGCAACGAAAGACGCACACGCGCTCCGGGCACATGGGTCGCCCAAAGGGTAAGCGCA